CCTCCTCCTCCTCCTCCTCCTCCTCCTCCTCCTCCTCTCCGCGTGGGGGCGGCTCGAGAGCGCGGCGTTGCTCGCGCTATTCGCGCTATTCGCGCCATTCGCGCTTCGCGCGGGCCGCGAGGTCGGGCGCCCGAGCGAGGCACGCGGTGGCAGGCCGCTCGCAGGACCGCTGGCCGCCTCGTCAAGTTTGGGCGAGGCGGCGGGCCGCTCCGGCTGCGCGCTGAGCTGCGCGCTGCCTGCGCCGGCCACGACCACGACGACGACGACGACGACGACGACGACGACGACGACGACGACGACGACGACGACGACGACGACGACGACGGCGACGACGAGGACGACGACGACGACGGCGACGGCGACGGCGACGACGGCGACGGCGACGGCGACGGCGACGGCGACGGCGGCGGCGGCGGCGACGACGACGATGACGACGACGGCGGCGGCGGCGGCGGCCGCGGCGGCGGGGTGCACCCCGTGCTGCGCGCGCGCAGCCGAGCGGAGCGAGCCCACGAGCTCGGGGGCCCAGACCCCCTCGGGTCATGAAAGAATCACGACGGAAGGTTTCTCACTATTTTCGGCCCCTGGGGGCCCTTACCGGGCCTCGGGACCGTCAAAGAACAATTCAGGATGAAAGTCCAGTCCTGTGGAATGGGTCGAGACCTCTTGGGGTCGACGTCGCGGAAAATCATTTCGCCCAGGGTTCTGGGGACGTTTCCCCCCTCGTCCCCCCTCGTCCTCGTCCTCCGCCTCCTCCTCCTTCTCCTTCTCCTCCTCGACCGCTCGCCCGGGCAAGGATTGTCACAGGTAGCTCCTTTTGTTTGCGTCTGTCTGTCCAGGTGAGGCAGGATTTGTCCGCCCCAGCCGGCGCCTACAGCAAGCAGCGACGTAATCGTGGCGAGGCCCGATCACGTTCTTGCCCGCATCCCTGGCCGGACTTTGGGTCACGCTCGCAGGACAGCCGTGCCTGGAGCCCTCTTCGTTCGGGGGCGTAGGGTTCGGCTTTCGCCACGCGCTCGACGGGTTCCGAGCCATACCCCCGCCGCTCATCTTGGCGGCGAGCCCGGGGGGAAGGGAGAAGGGGCGGGCCTTCTCAGAAGGCTCGGAAGCCCCCTGGCCTGAAGCCTTCCCCGGAGACGCAGGCAAGAACTTCTCAGAAGTCCCGCCGCCTTTGAGAAGGCCTTCTCCTTCTCGTTTCCCCCCTCGCCCCCCCGCCGCTCATCGGGGTGCCAGAGTCGCTGCTCAGCGAGGGTCGGGTTCGGACTTCGCCGCCGAGCTGCGGTCGGGGGCCGGAGCATGGACGCCGGCGGAGGGCGGCGGCCGCCGTGGTGTGCGTCTGCGACCAGAGTCTAAGCGCGCGAAGCGCGCGCTGATCTAATACATTTTGTAGTTCTGCTCATGTGCACAGACGTAGAAGCTTGTATGTATATATATATATAAAAATATATTTAGATACATTTATATACATATATGTGTATATATATACACACATATGCAGACATCTGTACACACATCTGTAGATGCACAGGTTCGTGCACACGTATATCCATCTGCATGGCTGCAGATGTAATTGTACATGTGCATGCTCATGTTCATGTAAATGTATGTTTGTACATGCGCGTAAATGCCTATATATCTAATGGCCTTCGGCCCTTCTCGCCACCGTGCCTGGCTTGTGGGTCAGAGTCCTCAGGGGTGCTTCTCGGGGTCTCTTCGGATCGCTCTCGCCTCTCGGGGCTAATTTCGGAAACAGTTATTGGGCCTCTTGGGGCCCTATTGGGGCCAACTTGGGGGCCTCTTGGGGGCCTCTTGGGGCCTCTTGGGGCCTCTTGGGGGCTTCTTTGGCCTCCTGGGCCTCCTGGGGGTGTCTGGGGGCCGAAGGCTCGAAATGCCCGTACGGGTTCCCCCTGTGGGCCTCCTGGGGGCCGTCCTGGGGCCGTCATGGGGGCCTCGTGGGCCGTCTTGGGACCCTCTTGGGCGGTCTTGGAGCACTCTTGGGGGCCTCTTGGGCCGTCTTGGGGGGATCCTGGGAGCCTCTGGGGCCGTCTTGGGCGTTATGAAAGGCCAAGAGGCGAACCTGCTAAAACTGCAAGTTGTCCAAATTTTTGCATCTTGGGGCCCTCTTGGGGGCCTTGGGCCTTGGAGCGTCTTGGAGGCCTCTTGGGCCGTCCAGAGGCGCTCCTTGACCGTCTTGGGCGCTTGGTGGGGGGCTCCGCGAAGTTCTCCGGGTCGTTTGGGGCGTCGCAACCGTCCCAGAGGCTCATGCGTAACACCCTGGGAGCGCCCGAGAGCGCCCGGGAGCGCCCGAGAAATTTGTTCTCCAGGCCCTGAAGAACTTACAATCTTGGCTGCAGCAGCAGCACGGCTGTGATCCTTGGGGGCATTTTGAAAACCACCCGCCCTCCATCTGTGAAGCTGTTGTCAGTTTTTCAGCTTCAGGGTCGCAGATTATGAAGAAGTCTTTGGCGAAACGCCCCGCCCGCCCTTTCGACAGGCCTCGGGGTAAGACAGGGAGGAGTTGTTTGCCAGGAAAAGGAATGGAGGCGGGGCGGGAGGGGTAGGAGGGGGGAGGAGTGGAAGAGGAGGGGGAGGAGGGGGAAGGGGGAGGGGGAGGGGACGACGACAGACGACGACGACGACGACGACGACGACGACGACGACGACGACGAAGACGACGACGACGACGACGACGACGACGACGACGAGACGACGACGACGACGACGACGACGACGACGACTACGACGAACGACTAACGACGACGACGACTACGACGACGACGACACGAACGACGAAGACGGCGAGATAAGGGACGCTACGACGACGACACGACGACGAACGACACGACGACGACGACACGAGGAAGGGAGGAAGGTCGGGGGTGGGACGACGACGACGACGACGACGATGAGGGCACCCCGCGAGGACAGCCAGCACATAAACAAGGCGCGCCGGGGCCCTAGGGGCGAGTGGCACGGTGCGTGGCTTCCTCGCCCCCCCCCGCCCTTCAGCCCTGATCCCAGGTAGGTCGAGACTACAAGCCGCGGCTGGCGCAACTGGGAGCAGGCCCCTTCCGTCGGCAAAGGCAGGCCCCCACGACGACTTCGACGACGACGACGACGACGACGACGACGACGACAACGACGACGACGACGACGGCTCCCCGCCTGGGGCGGGCTGCCCTCCCCGCGGGGCTGGGCGAGGGGGGAGTGCCCGGGCCGAAGGGAGGGCCCACGGTGAGGGGTATGGGCCTCCGGCGCTCGCAGCGTCTGGTGGGGGCCCCGGGATCCGCCTCCGCACCACCGGGTCTCCTCGCCCCCTTCGAGGAGGAGGAGGAGGAGGAGGAGGAGGAGGAGGAGGAGGAGGAGGAGGAGGATTCTTCTTCCTCTTCTTCCTCTTCTTCTTCTTCTTCTTCTTCTTCTCCTCTCTCTCTCTCTCTCCCTCTCCCTCTCCCTTCCGCTCTCCCTCTGCGCTCTCTCCCTCTGCACCCTCCCCTCCCCCCCCCCTCCCTGCCTCCCTCCTCTCTGCTGGGATGCCGGCGAGCAAGCCTCCTCCGCTGCCCTCGCGCGCTCGGCCCCCTGGGCCCCCTTCCAACGCCCGCGCCACCGCCTCCCGTCGGGGAGGCCCAGGACTCGAGCAAGCCGGAGCTCCGGTCTGGGCGCCCGGTACTGGGTACTGGACCCTCCAAGACTTCGTAATAACAGGGAGGGGGTCTGGACCCTCCAAGGCAAGCCATTTCAGACCTCCCCCCGTGGGAGAACCCTCCAAAACATCGCCCCCAGACCCCCCCAGGCCCTCCAAGATAGCCTGGAAGAGACCCCCTCCGAAATGAGACCCCCCTCCCTTTATTACGAAATCTGGAGTGCGGAAAAAAATGGGTACAATGCCCAACAGCAGTTCCTGCTCATTTTGAGCAGGATTCGCTGTCCACGCCGCCGCGGCCTGTGTCCATTCGAGACAGAAGGCCGCCTGCCCAACAGCGGCCGCTGTTGGTTCGGGACAACGTTTGTTGTTGGGCATTGTGCCCATTCTTTCCGTACCCATTTCGGGCGTCCAAATCGGGTTTGCCGACGTTTTTTGACGAGCGCGTCCTGGATTTTGGCGCTCCGGTTTTCACGGGACGTCTCCAGCGGGAGCTCGCGTCAGATTCTATGGGCTTACGCCACATCCGCCGACCCCTCTTTATAAAGTACTGCGCGTCCAGGACTGCATTCCACGAGGCATGTCCGATTCCTGGGAGGTTCTTGGGGGCGTTTGGGGGCTCTGTTCGGGCTCCCTGGGGGTTTCTTGGGGCGTGTTGGGGGCTTTTTGAGGCAACCTGGGGGCGTGCTGGGGCCGAAGGCTGGAAATGCGGGTTCGGGTTCTCCTTGTGGGCCCCCTTTCGGCGCCGTCCGGGGGCCTTCTGGGGCCGTCATCGGGGCTTCTATGGCGGTCTTGGGACCTTTGTGGGCCGTCTTGGAGCTGTCCTAGGGGTCTTCGAGGCCTCTGAGGCCCTCTTGAAGGCCTCTTGAGCATCTTCGACGTCTTGGAGGCCATCTTGGCCGTTTTTGATGCCATCTTGGGTCATTTTGGAGCCATGTGCAGGCCATCTTACGCCATCTTGGGTGCATCTTGGACCGCCTTAGCCGTCTTGGAGGCCATCTTGGTCGTCTTGGAGGCCTGTTGGGGCCCGCTGGGGACCGTTTTGGGGGTGGGCCGCCATGGGGCCATCTTGGAGGCCTCGTGGGTGATCTTGGGGCGACCTTTGGGGCCTCTTGGGCCGTCTTGAGCCGTCGGAATGCCAACAAAGAGCAAATGCCAACATCCCTCAGGAAAATCAATGAATTTGATCTCTTCGGGTCCTCATGGATGACCTCTTGGAGGCCTCTTGGGCTGTGTTGGAGGCCTCTTGGGAGCCTCATGGGCCGTCTTGGGCCATCGTGAGGCCATTCTAGGCCGTTTTCGGTGCATCTTGGGCCGTCTTGGAGGCATCTTGGGGCCATCTGAGCCGTCTGGGAGGCCATCTGGGTCGTCTTGGATGCCTCTGGGGGCCCTCTTGTGGCCGTCTTGGGGGCCTCTTGGGCCGTCCTGGGGCCATCTTGGAGGCCTCGTGGGCGATCTTGGGGCGATCTTGGGCACCTCGTGGGCCGTCTTGAGCCGTCGGAATTCCCCAAAAGAGCAAACGCCTAAATATTTCAAAAACCTCAGGAAAATCAATGATTGTGGCCTTTTCGGGCCCTCCTGGAGGACCTCTTGGAGGCCTCTTGGGCCGTCTTGCGCCGTCTTTGGACGTTTTGGAGGCATCTTGGGCCATCTGGATGCCATCTTGGGCGCCTTGGAACGATCATTCGACGATTCGGGGCCCTCTTGGATCGTCTTGGGGCCCACTTTGGGGCCTCTTGGCCTGATTTGGAGTCCTCCATGCTCCCATGACGCGTTCGGGCCGGGCCTAGGGGGGGTCGAATTGCCGGTTTGGGGTCCCCAGGGGGGTTGTGTGGGGGGGAAGAATCTCACACGCCGAGAGACCCACAAGGGGCCGGCGGATGACGGGAAGCGTCTTCGAGGAATGAGAAGCGAGCTGGACGTTTTGGCTGAATCCTCCTCGTATCAGTAAGAGATCTCTTAACTATAGGGGGTGGCGGATCGCACGGGGTTAAGGGTTAGCGGATTCCTCGGGATGGCGATTTCGCGTGAGACATCCTCACAAAAATGAGATCTTTGCGACATCGCGTTGAACAAAAACTAGCGTTTCGCTCGAGACATCCTCGAAAAGTTGATGACTGCGAAATTTCGCCGTCTGTGAAAATGTGCGTTTCGCTTGGGACATCCTCGAACAAATGAAATGACGACTGAAGTCTTTAACTAACTCTTATGTTAAGAATTGCGATTTCGCTAGGAACATCCTCAAAACACGAGCGGCAGCACGGCGGACCAGAACGAAGAGCACGGCAGAAAATTTGCATTTCGCTAGGGACATCCTCAACAAAATGAGATGTCCTCAACGTCGTCTTGATATCGTTCTCGAAGTACCTCAAGATGACGCAATGAGAGGCCAAAAAGCACGTCAAGATGGCTGTCAGAACGATTGGGGGACTTCCGAAAATAGCGATTTCGCTAGGGACATCCTCAAAAAGTGAAAACATACACCAGCATCGACTTGAAAACTCTTGTTCTTACATAGTTTTGACTTTGCTTCTGAAAAGGCTTCCAGACGGCCCAAGGCAGCCTTCAAAAAATGTCGATTTCGGTAGGGACATCCTCAAACAATTGATGCGTGCGACATCGCATCGTAATGATTTTAGGAGGGCATCAGGAAGCAAAAGACGGCCACAACATGGCTCCAAGAGCGCCCTTAAGGTTGCTGAAAATAGTGATTTCGCTAGGGACATCTTCAAAAAATAACACATCGAAGAACATCGTTTTGAAAACTGCTGTTTTAACATCGTGTTGGGATCGCTCCTGAAAAGGCTTCTAGATGGTTCAAGCCAGTCATCTAAAAATGACGATTTCGCTAGGGACATCCTGAAAACATGAATGTGTGTAACATCGGACTCTAACGGTTTTGTAAGGCATGAAGAAGGCCCCCAAAGGCCCCAAACAAGCCCAAATTTGACCCCCAGGAGCGCCCTCGAGACGATCCAAAATGGCGATTTCGCCTGAGACATTCTTACAAAAATGAAATGTTCACAACATCGATGTCATCAAAAATGAGCGTTTCGCCTGAGACATCCCTTAAACATGGGGAGCCGCGAATTCGACAGATGTTCAAAAACTAGCGTCTCGCCTGAGACATCCTAACAAAAATGATATCTTGGAGTGGCGTTTTTACTACCTCTCGTGTTAAACATCGCGCTCTCGCTGCATACATCCTCAACAAAAATCGGGCGGAGCATGGCCGGCGAAAAAGGAGCAAGGCAGAGAATGAGCAGTTCTGCCGTGCTCCTTCGCTCACGGGGTCTATTCTGCATTGCTCGTTTTTTTGTGCCGTACTCCTTCGCTCTACGGGCCTATTCTGTCATGCTCCTGGCCATTTTCTGTCACAATCCTTTGTTCTTGGGGCTTATGATGCTCTGCTCCTGGTCGTTTTCTGCCGTGCTCCTTAGCTCTTGGAGCATATTCTGCCGTGCTCCTTCGCTTTCGGGGTTTATTCTGCCGTGCTCCTTGTGTTTTTCTTGCATACTCCTTCTTCCTTGGGGCGTATTATGCTGTATTCTTGCATCTATCTTGCCGTGCTCCTTAGCTCTCGCGGTCTATTCTGCCGTGCTCCGGGTCACTGGTCGTGTTTTGCAATGCTCCTTCTTTCCCGGTGCCTATTCTGCCGTGGTCCTCAGCTCTTGGGGTCTATTCCGCCGTGCTCCTGTGTTTTTTTTTCTGTCATGCTCCTTCGCTCTTGGGGCCTTTTCTGCCGTGCTCCTCAGCTCTTGGGGTCTATTCTGCCGTGCTCTTTGTTTTTTTTTCTGCCGTGCTCCTTCGCTCATGGGGCCTATCCTGCCGTGCTCCTGGTCTTTTTCTGCCGTGCTCCTTAGCTCTGGGGTCTATTCTGCTGTGGTCCTGGTCTTTTTCTGCCGTGCCCCTGAGCTCTGGGGGTCTATTCTGCCGTGCTCCTGGTCATTTTCTGCCGTGCTTCTTCGCACTTGGGGCATCTTCTGCCGTGCTCCTTGTCTCTTGGGTTCTATTCTGCCGTGCTCCTCGTCTTTTTCTGGTTTGCTCCTTCGCTCTTCGGGCCTATCCTGCCGTGCTCCTGGTCTTTTCTGTGGTACTCCTTGGCTCCTCGGGCCTTTTCTGCTGTGTTTCGGTCTTTTCTGCCGTCGTCCTTAGCTCTTGGGGCATCTTCTGCCGTGCTCCTGGTCTTTTTCTGGCGTCTTTTTCGCTCTTGGGGCCTATTATGCCGTGCTCCTTAGCTCTTGGGGTCTATTCTGCCGTGCTCCTGGTCTTTTTCTGCCGTGCTCGGCAGCTCTTGGAGTCTA